ACGCAGGACACGAAGGTCCTGGCGGAACCGCTCGCAGAGCTGGAGACGGACTGTGCGGATCCAAGGGATCAAGACATCAGGGACCTCCCCCTTGCTGCGCAAGAGGAAGACCGTGGTGTAGTGCGTGTAGTCGTCAACAACCAGCAGAAAGTAGCGCTCGCGGCCCTGTCCACTAACGCGGGCTGGGCCCCACACGTCCATGTGGAGAGTCTGCAGGGGAGCAGTCGTCGGGGGAAACGAGGAGTAGTGAGGAGCGGCGCGCTGCCGCCCCTCGACGCAAGGAAGACAGGGCAGGGCAGGCGAGGGCGGGAGGGGAGGCAGAGACCTGGGAAGACCAGAGACAAGGAGACGGGAGTGCATGCCACGAAGTCGTGGCAGGGAGGGGTGACAAAGGCGGTGGTGCAACAGGAGAGTCTGGTGCGACAGGAGGCGACACGAGCAAGGGGGTGCTACCTGACCTGACGCGGACACCTGGGCAGACGCAGCTACGTGAGGAGGCTCTGTAGCCAGTGTGTACAGACTCGACCCTGGCCGACAAGTGAACGTGGCCAGGTTGCAGCCCGTCCGTGTACACGTGTAGATCGACACACGCTGACCCCCAGGAATGGTGGTAGTGACCATCGCGTCCTAGAGGGCAGCGGTACTCACCAAGTTTGTAGAGAACGAGGGGAGGTCAAGGCCTGACAGTGAGCCGGACGGAACCACCGGACACGGGAGAACAGTGGAGGAACGGGCAAGGACTGGGCCCCCGGAGGGGTCAGCCAGTCAGACCGGTAAAGGTGCAAAGAGAGGAGTGAGGGTGGTGCTGTCGCGAAAGAAACAGCATGAAGCACATGAGTCAAGTGTAAAGGTGTGCAAGGCCTCAGCAGGTGTAGTACTAGGGAGAGCAGACTCACTAGCACCTAGAGCAGCAGCGGCTATACCTGGGTCAGGCGGCACACACAGGTAACAGTCACCCTCAGCACTAGCAGACAAAGCATACATAGCAGCAAGGACAGCATCATAGTCTAGGTCAAAGATAGCAACTCCAGACCCATGCTGCTCTGTCCAGCGGGGGCGCTCGGCCTCGTCACCAAACTCTGCGCGCCAGGCGTCGTCGAGGCTAGAGAAGCAGCGGTGCTGAGTGTGAGGCTTCCCACATGTCTGATCAGCACGGTCACCCGTGCGAATGACATACGGGCAGCTACCACTACCCCCAGACGCCCCATGCTGAGAAAACCACTCACGAAGCTGCTGGGGCGACGGGGTCTCACTCCGACGCTCCTGCTGCTACCTCTGGCCACCGCCAGAACCTCCACGCTGAGTAGCTCCAGCCCGACCGCCACCACTCCCACTGCCGCCACTACCGCCACCCCCACCGCTGCCACCACTGCCGCCACCAAAGCTCCCACTCCCGCCACCACTCCCACTACCACCTCCACCTCCGCTGCCTCCACCACCTCCACTGTTGCCCCCACCACCACCCCCGCTGCCACCGCCACCACCCGTGCCACCCTTGCCCTTGCTGCTGCGGCGCTTCCCACTAGCAGAAGCAGCCCCGACGTCCTCAACACCAAGGACGTCAACAATAGCAGCAGAGGCGTAGGAGGGGGCAAGGGGGGAGGGGGAGCACCCCTCAAAGAAGGGCGTGTGCGGATTGACATGAGCAGTACCTACAGTGACTACACTAGTCTCAGCTGCAAGGAGGTGCTGCTCGAGGAGTTCAACAGTGAGGACTATGGGGTCATGTGAGAGAAAGTGGTCCCTGAAAGAGCAAAGAGAGTCAGGGAGGCGGGTGACTATAAAGTAGAGAGTGATGAACATCGGGGGCTGGTTCCTGTCAAGGAACTCTGCTAGGGCGGTAGCGCGGTAGCGAGCGTTGCTAGTGCGAAGATGGGAAACCAGGTCCTCTACTGTGGCAAAGGTGGACAGCTCGGGAAACAGGTAGGGCAGTAAAAGATGGCCTAGAGCAGCAGTGGCAGGCGAGGAGTAACGGGCGACTACGGCATCGTACAGTGCATGTGCTATCCCGTGCTGTCCGAAGTGAGCGCATTCGGCCAACGGCAGGTGGTTGGCATTCGGCAAATGGCTAAGCAAGCAGCAGCGTCACGAGTAAGCCACTGTGAGCGAGTCGCACTGTCAGCTGTGGCGGGAGGGGCGGGAGCGGCGCCAGACGTATGGTCAAACAACGAAACGCTGTCCCTAGAGTCGCTCAGTAGGTACAGCTGCAGGTCGTTGACCCACGTGTCAAACTGAATCGAGCGTCCCTCATGATCGAATGCGAGAACGCGGAGAGAAGCTAGCGGCACAGCACGCAGGGCGGGCAGAAGCCAGGCAGCGCAGGGAATAGGGCAGGCAGCAGCAAGGGGCGGCAAGCGGGCTGGAGGGGCTACGAGAGGACCGCAAGGGGTGGCTAACAGGGCAGCAGGGGCGGCTAGAGGGCCACCATGGGCGGTGCGCGGGGCTGCAAAGGCGGCTCGCGGGCTGTAGGGGCGAGGGGCGGGCCGCAAGGGGCGGCGCGCGGGGCCTAGGGTCGACGGGGGGGGGGGGGGGGGGGGGGGGGGGGGGGGCTAGGGGCGACGGGCGGGCCGGGGCCTAGGGTCGATGGGCGGGCCGGGCTAGGATCGACGGGCAGGCGCGCGGGGCAGCAGGGGTGGACGGGCAGGCTGGGGCCTAAGGGTGACGGGCGGGCGCGCGGGTCTAGGGGCGACGGGCGGGCCGGGGGCAAGGGGCGACGGGCGGGCCGGGGCCTAGGTCGACGGCCGGGCCGGGCTAGGGTCGACGGGCGGGCCGGTCCTAGGGTCGACGGGCGGGCGTGCGGGTCTAGGGGCGACGGGCGGGCCGGGGCCAAGGGGCGACGGGCGGGCGCGCGGGTCTAGGGGGGACGAGCGGGCCGGGGCCAAGGGGCGACGGGCGGGCCGTGGCCTAGGGTCGACGGGCGGGCCGGGCTAGGGTCGACGGGCGGGCCGGGCCTAGGGTTGACGGGCGGGCGCGCGGGTCTAGGGGTGACGGGCGGACTGGGGCCAAGGGGCGTCGGGCGGGCCGGGGCCAAGGGGCGATGGGCGGGCCGCGGGTCTAGGGGCGACGGGCGGGCCGGGCTAGGGTCGACGGGCGGGCCGGGGCCAAGGGGCGTTGGGCGGGCCGCGGGTCTAGGGGCGACTGGCGGGCCGGGCTAGGGTCGACGGGCGGGCCGGGCCTAGGGGCGACGGGCGGGCGCGCGGGTCTAGGGGCGACTGGCGGGCCGCACAAGGGCGGCGCGCGGGGCAGCAGGTGCGGCACGAGGGTCGCTAGGGGCGGCGCGTGACCCAGAAGGGCGGCTAGTGGGGCAGCGCTGTGGTGGGCCCAAAAACAAACGGTCCTAACGAAGGACCTGCTCTGAAACCATGTCAAGAGAATGAACGAGAATGAATGAATTGAGCAGAAGTTTGGTACAAGTACTAACCCTAATTGGGTTGTACCCCTTATGGGCTACCCCGATATAGCCTACACAAATGTAAGCACTAGAACATTCTGACACGCCGCTTTTATGTCAGACCAAATTAGAACCATATCAAAACCATTGCCGCTAATCGAACGTACGGACCCACAGATCGCATCGCTCCTACCCACGGGCTGCATCTCGCGACGAGTAGCCTATCTCATATGGACGACACCGCTTATCCTCCTAGCCCGCGACACCTGGTCATAATGGGGTAGGGACCTGCTAGCCACCCTCCTGACTGCGTGCGGCATACGGTACCCAATGTGGCATAGAACAAACCCGAGTTTGGGAACAATCCTCACTCCCGCCGTCACTACGCGGGATAGGTCTCACAGACCCTACGGTCGAAGGGACCTTTGGCTTCCTTGCTAGTTTCATCCAGGTGTCGTTACTCCTTAGTTCGCTACCGCTGGGGCCGGAAGACGTCTTGAAAAACGACATGTTGTTGCCACATGACATAAACACAGATCTAGATGCGTGCCTGACTGAATGCGAAGCGGCACTGCCTCAGGACGCTTTGGAGATACTTGAAAAGGAGAGAATGGAGCCGACCCGTGAAATTGCAGGGAAGCAGATATGCCACGAAAGTGCGGCAGACCACGCGCATGAGCTTGAATCCACTGTCTGGGCACACACAACGGTTTTTCTCTCTCACTGGTTATGGCACTGGGGACTGGCTACCCGCAATACCGATAGAGCCAGCGCGCCGCATCGGCCCCGAGCACTTTGCCAATGCAGTTCGATTCCGGCTAGGTCTACCTTTCTCAATGTCAGCGAACTGCGACTGCTCGGACCACACTGAGATCACTGACCCCAGACTGCCCAACCACTTATTCTGCTGTGGCACAGGCAAACACAGGATTAACACCTAAAACGAATTGCAGGATGCCTGCATCAGTATGGCGAAGGATGCAGGGTTCATCGTGCACGGCGAATCAGCGGCCTATTGCCCAATAGAGGAGAAGACCGCCGACCTCACCATGAGAGATAAGAGATCGGGGGTTGTACAGATCTGTGATGTCACCATCACGGATCCTAAAAACACGAGGGATCCGGACGCGTCGAAGGGTAGGGGATGGGTGGCGAGGTTTCTCTTATTCATTCATACGTTTACAATAATGCAACCACGCTGGACTGATTTGGTGCCACTCTCAACATCTGGAAGGAATATATGGTGTTTCAAACAATTGTGCAAGGAAAAGTGCGCAAGGACAGGCCTGTGCGACACGAGGTGCCGATTTGACGTCCATTTGTTATTCAAATCAAGGTTTATATTGTTCATTCGTAAATTTACAATAATGCAACCATGCTGGACTAATTTGGTGCAATTTGCAGCATCTGGAAGGAAGATATGGCGTTTCAAACAGTTGTGCATATCAAACTGCGCAATGATAGGATCGAGTGATATGTCATGTCGTTTCATGGATGCATGTTTTTTTTTTTTTTTTTTTTTTTTTTTTTTAAGCGTGAGTTCCTTTGTTTATCTTGACTTTCGCTGTACTCTTAACATGCCATTAAAGTTTGTTGCCATTAGGAGGTCATGGTATGCAATGTTAAATGTTGTAGTCTTAGTGATGTGTGTTATAGGGGGTACAACTGTTAGGGTTAGGTTTATGTACCCCAACCAACCTTAGTGAAACCAACACTTTCATTCTTGACATAGTATCACCTAGGTTAGGATCCTGTAGGATCCCGTTCCTCTCGTTCACGTCCGTAGCGCCCGAGCCTGTCCCGTACCCCAGTGCCCGTTACGCTTGTACTGTCCCCTAGCGCCTCTCGTGCTCGTCTCTCTCGTGCCCTAGCGCCCGTTGTGCCTGCGTCGCGTCGCCCCTGCTATACTGTCCCGTCCTGTCGCCCCTGCTATCCCGTCGCCCCTCCTGTCCCGTCCCGTCGCCCCTGCCGTCGCGTCGCCCTTGCTGTCCCGTCCCGTCCCGTCGCCCCCGCTGTCCCGTCGCCCCTGCTGTCCCGTCCTGTCGCCCCTAGCGTCACGTCGCCCCTGCTGTCCCGTCCCGTCCCATCGCCCCTGCTGTCCCGTCACCCCTGCTGTCCCGTCCCATCGCCCCTGCCGTCGCGTCGCCCCTGCTGTCCCGTCCCGTCCCGTTGCCCCTGCTGTCCCGTCGCGTCGCCCCCTGCTGTCCTGTCCCGTCCCGTCGTCCCTGCTGTCCCGTCCCGACCCGTTGTCCCTGCTGTCCCGTCGCGTCGCCCCCCTTCTGTCCCGCCGCATTGCGCCGTCCGTCCCGTCCCGTCGCCCCTGCTGTCCCATCCCGTTGCCCTTGCTGTCCCATCCCGTCCCATCGCCCCTGCTGTCTCGTCGCCAGTGCTGTACCGTCCCGCCGCCCCTGCCGTCGCGTCGCCCCTGCTGTCCCGTCCCGTCCCGTCGCCCCTGCTGTCCCGTCGCGTCGCCCCCTGCTGTCCCGTCCCGTCCCGTCGTCCCTGTTGTCCCATCCCGTCCCATCTTCCCTGCTGTCTCGTCGCGTCGCCCCCCTTCTGTTCCGCCGCGTTGCGCCGTCCATCCTGTCCCGTCCCGTCCGCGTCGCGATTTCCGTCCCGTCCCGTCGCATGCGCCCCGTGCGACATTCCCGTCGCGCCCCCGCTGCGCCCTGCCCGTTCGTCGCGCCCCATGCGCCCTGCCTATCCACGCCCGTCGCGCCCCATGCGCCCTGCCTATCCGCGCCCGTCGCGCCCGTCCCTGCCAGTCGCGTCCGTCTCGTCACGTCGCACAATCTATCACGCCCTACACAGGCCCTTTAGGCGTTTAGGGTTTCGGCAGCAGCATTATCCACCTCTACGCTTCCGCTATGGCGACCCCTAGGATCCTGCGCTTTGACGTTGAGGGTGGGCCGCTCGAGTTCTCGGTCTGGCTCCTGCGTGCGCGCCGCCTCCTAGAGAGCCAGGTTCAGGCACACGAGACTCTGTGGGCGCACGCTTCCGGTGACTTACCTGAGCCCGCTGACCCTGCAACCTTAGCAGCTGACCCCACACCTGCAGACAGTGACCGTTATGCACGCGAGCGTGCTGACATGACAGCGTGGAAGTCGCGTGACGCTGCGGCCTGCATCGCCCTCAGCAACCTCCTCCCTGAGTCTGAGGAGACCCACTTCACTCAGGTTCGCACGGCTAGTGAGTTCCTGACTGCAATCAAGGCCCGCTACGCTACTCCCACCACTGTCTCTCTTATGGCGAGACTGCGGTTTGTGTCGGCTGGGACACGTACGCGCCTCTCCCAACTTTACCGCTGAGCCGGGCTCTGGTCTCTACACACTTCACTCTGGCCCCCAAGGGCAGCAACAGCAGCAGCAGCAGCAGCAGCAGCAGCGGCGGCGGCAGCAGCAGCACCAGTATCAGTGGCAGCAGCAGCAGCAGCAGCAGCAGCAGCAGCAGCAGCAGCAGCAGCAGCAGCAGCAGTAGCAGCGGCAGTAGCAGTGGCAGTAGTAGCAGCAGCGGCAGCAGTAGCAGCAGCTACTGCCCCTGACCCCTGTCACTGTCCCCCATCAGGTTCCCGTGTCTCACCAGGTTGCTGCGTCTCCCCAGGTAGCTATGTCTGGTCAGGTTCCAGTGTCTGGTCCAGTTGCCGTGTCATGCTCCTGGCGGACGCTTGCCAACCCCAATGTTTTGTGGCACCACCGGATGGGGCACCCGTCCATTTCTCGCCTGCGCGCTATGTCTAGTCAGCGTCTTGTCTTAGGCCTCCCGCGTGTCTTGCCGTCGTTGCCGCCTTCACTTGTGCCACCCTGCGGTCCCTGCGTCGAGGGTCGGCTGCGCACCACCCCTCACTCCTCCTCCCTTTGTCAGGCCACCGAGCCCTTCGAGACTCTCCACATGGACGTCTGGGGCCCCGCCTCGCGCCCTGGCCCTAAGCGAGAGGGTTTCTTTCTCGTAGTCGTTGACGACTAATACCGCCACACCACTGTGTTTCCCCTGGCAAAGAAGTCCAACGTGACTTCTACGCTGTTCCGGTGGTTACTTACCACTACGGACACTCGTGGTCGTCATGTCAGCTGTCTTCACTCCGATCGCGGGGGTGAGTAGAAAATGGTGTGCAGACTAGCGGTAGCACTGGTGGAGCTGCTGTGTCCGAGGAAGGAGAGCAGCAGCAGGGGAAAACTAATGTTCCTATGCTACCATCAAGGAGGAAGCTGAAGGGTGTCGTTATGAAGGGATGGGAGACACCCGTGTCTAGGCCAGGATGTACCCATATGGCCACTATGAAGCTGACTGCAGGAGCTGATGTAACAGAGCAGCAGCTTGGGAATGAGGAGGCATTGCTGATTCTACCGCATGACTATGACCCGGATGAGGAGGACGAGCCTGCGTACTGTTTTCTTGCCCCTGCACAAGAGGAACCAGCTAGCATGGAGGAAGCATTTGCTGGACCAGATAGGGATAAGTGGCTGCCTTCTAGGGATGCTGAGTAACAGAGCCTGCAAGAGAATGGGACTTGGGAACTGGTGGTGCTTCCTGAGGGGAAGAAAGCGGTACAATGCAAGTGGGTGCTGAGGATCAAGACCGATGACAAGGGGCAGGTCACCATCTACAAGATTAGGTTGGTGGCTAAGGAGTTTATGCAGAAGGAGAAGCAGGACTTCAATGAGATCTTTGCTCCCACTGCCAAACCCCCTACCCTCCGTGTCTTGTTGACAGATGCAACCGTTAGTGGGAAATACATCATTCAGATGGATATATCAACGGCATTCCTCAATGGGATTTTAGAGGAGGAGTACATGACGCAGCCGCCTGGGTATGAGGATGGTACGGGCAGGGTGTGCAAGCTCAACAAGTCAATCCACGGCTTGAAGCAAGCGCCACACTGCTGGTACCAGAGATTGGCAGCTATTTAGAGGAGATGAGGACTCGTCTGACTACACCTTTTACCACCCTCCCCTTCACCGGTTCTTTGACTCTAGTGACGTCTGTTTCGATGAGTCCGTCCCCTACTATGTCAGGTACCCCTGTCGAGGTCTCCCGGTTCCTCCTGCCCCTCTCATCCTGACTTCAGCTCCCCCTCCTGCTCCCCCGGTACAGCCTCTGTTAGAATGTGAACGAATGAATGACTGAACTAGAAAGCAGTTGGGTACAAGTGGGAAACCTAAAAGTGTTGTACCCTATATGAACTACCCCACTACAGCCTAAACAGACTATAGCATATAAGTTTGACACACCCCCATAGGCAAAGTGGGGGAGAACAAGAGGTCACAAGACCAGTCAAGAAAGGCAAAGCAAGCTCAGGGTGGATCACAAAGTCACCACGCAGTCTGAGCACAAGCAAATGGCCACAAGGCCAGTTCACATGCAGAGTTATATAAAGGAGAACAAACAATACACAGAACAAAACCTAGCAAGAGTAAGCATGCAGGAATATGTCTAAAGAGTACAGTACAGGCAGAGTCAAGAAGAAAGTAAGTGAGGCACAGTAGGTACAAGGCCTAACACAGTACAGAAACGCTGATGATCACAAGGCTGAAGTGCCTTGGTGAAAACATCAGTAGTGTTGGCCTGAGAGGCCACGTAAGCAAGACGAAGCTGGCCACGCTGCTGCAACTCTCGAGCAAGGAAGTAGCGCAGAGCAATGTGCTTCGTTCTGTGCTCCAGTCTGTGCTCCTGACACAAGGACAGCATGGCCTTGTTGTCGACGTACAGAACTGGAGGAGAACGAGGCGCCTCTCCCAAGTCGGTCAGCAGGTAGGTGAGCCAGCGTAGCTCCTGTGCAGCCATGGCCCCAGCGTAGATCTCAGCCTCACAACTGGAGCTGAGAACAGAAGAAGAGCGGGTAGACCGCCAAGAGACAGAACCGGAGCCAAGACTGAAGGTGTAACCCTGTGACGACCGCTGCGTAGCCAAGTCGTCAACCCAGGAGGCGTCAGCGTGACCAGTGAGGACAACTCGAGCCCGTCCTCCAAGCACGAGCCCCATGCCCGATGTACTGCACAAGTATCGCAACACCCTCTTCGCAGCATCCCAGTGCACCTTTCGGTGCCTGCCGGGAGCCACGTAGCGAGCCAGAAGGCTGAGAGGGTATGCGAGGTCAGGTCGTGTGCAAGTCATCAGGTACATGAGGCAGCCCATAAGCTCTGGATACGGGCCACTCGGCTCTACGGCTCTGTGCAGCACCACCACCGCCGCCACCTCCACCACCGCTGCTGCTGCCTCCTCCACCTCCGCCGCTGCCTCCACCACCTCCACCGCCGCCACTGAAGCCCCCACTCCAGGTACCACCCCCACCTCCACTGCCACCCCCTCCGCCTCCTCCACCTCCTCCACCACCTCTCCCGCCGCCCCCTCTACCACCCTTGCTCCCCTTGCCCTTGCTGTTGCGGCGTCTCCCACTAGGGGCAGACGCAGCTCCAACCTCCTCAGTGCCAACGAGGTTGACAGCAGCAGCAGAAGCAACAGAGTGGAGAAGGGGGACAGGGGAACACCCCTCAAAGAAAGGGGTGCGACGGTCGCCGCGAGAAGCACCTACAGCTAAGATACTCTTCTCAGCTGCAGTAAGGCGCTCGTCTAGCAGGTCGACGGTCAGCTCGGTGGGGCAAAGGGAGAGAAAGTGGTCCCTGACTGAATAAAGTGAGTCAGGGAGGCGGGTGACTAGGTAGTAAAGGGTGATGTACATGGGGGGGGGGGTTCTTGGCACAGAACTCAGTGGGAAGGGCCGCGCGGTAGCGGGCGTCACTAGTGCGAAGGTGAGCAACTAGGTCAGCGACTGTGGCAAAGGCAGCAAGGTCAGGGAAAAGGTACGGCAGCATGAGGCGGCTGAGGGCAGCAGTGGCAGGGGAGGAGTAGCGCGCAACTACAGCGTCGTACAAAGACTGAGCAGTCTTGTACTGGCCAAAATGCGCGCGCTCAGTAGGCGGCAGGTGGCTACGAACAGCAAGACAAGCAATAGCGTCACGAGTGGTCCACTGCGAGCGAACCGTACTGTCAGCAGTGGCAGTAGGAGCAGTAGAAACACCGGACGTGTGATCATAAAGGGACACCCCATCCCTAGAATCACACTGAAGAAAGAGCTGGAGGTTGTCAACCCACACGTCAAAGCCAACTGCACGTCCCTCAGCGTCAAAGGTAAGAACGGTAGGACTAGCCATAGCAGCAGTAGGAGCAGTAGCAAAAGTAGCAGCAGTAGCAGCAAAAGCAGCAATAGCAGTGCACAGTAGTGCGGCTCGGTAGGGCAGGGCGGCGCGGTGGGGCGGCGCGGCTCGGCTGGGCGGCGCTGCTCGGCTCCTGGCGGCGCGGCTGCTTACCAGGGGCGGGTGCAGACAGGGCCGCAACTGGGGTGGCAGCAGGGGGGCAGGGCCGCTACGGGCGGTGCAGGCAGGGCCGCGACAGGCCAGTGATGGGCCAGTAACGGGCGGCAACGGGCTGGCGACGGGCCGGCTACGGGCGGCAGCGGGCCGGCGACGGCCGGCGACGGGCGGCAACGGGCCGGCGACTGGCCGGCGACGAGCGGCAACGGGCCAGCGACAGCCGGCGACGGGCGGCAACGGGCCAGCGACGGCCGGCGACGGGTCTGCGACGGGCGGCGACGGGCGGCAACGGGCCGGCGACGTGCTGGAACGGGCCGGGAAAGTCCGGCGACGGGCCGGGGCGGGCCGGGCCTCTAAGGCAGGGCCACGACGGGCCTCTAGGGAGGGGCCGGGACACGACGGGACGGGCCTCTAGGGAGGGGCCGGGACGGGCCGCGACGGGCCTCTAGGGCAGGGTCGGGGCGGGCCTCTAGGGAGTGCCGCGACGGGCCTCTAGGGAGGGGCCGGGACGGGCCTCTAAGGCAGGGCAACGACGGGCCGCTAAGGCAGGGCCACGACGGGCGGCACAAGGGCAGGGCGCGCGACGGCGCAGGTGAAACAGGCGCGAGGCGCGCTTCGGGTAGGAAAAAAAAAAATCGTGGTGGGCCCAATAAAAAGACGTTCCCACTAGGGAACCTGCTCAGAATACCATGTTAGAATGTTAACGAATGAATGACTGAACTAGAAAGCAGTTGGGTACAAGTGGGAAACCTAAAAGTGTTGTACCCTATATGAACTACCCCACTACAGCCTAAACAGACTATAGCATATAAGTTTGACAGCCTCCCCCCCCTGGTCCTGCCCCGTCAGGTGTGTCCCACGCTACCCCTCCCCCCTCGGTAGCCCCTCAGGTGCAGCCTCCTTCCCCGCTGTCCTCCTCCTAGCCTACAGCAGACCCTACGGGAGCCGGTTTTCGTGGTGAGGACACTGAAGGTGCTAGCTCTAGAGGTGCTGGAGTTGGAGCAGAGAGCGTATTTGTGTGAGGTCCTGGTTTTCGGGGTGCTGGAGTTGGAGCTGAGCGGCCGAGCTCTGTAAGTAAGCAAGAACGTTAGCCAGCGCAGCTCCTGTGCAGCCATAGCTCCAGCGTAGATCTCGGCCTCAGAAGTAGAGGTCGAGACCGATGAGGAACGT